TTAAAAAAATGTGTTTTCATTGTGGTCTATGAAAATTGCTGCATTAAATGTCATTTATGCATAATATTTAACCATTTTTCTCACATACTGCTGACTGATACAAAAATGAATAATTGTAGAAAGATTTTTACATAAAGTATTGTTACTGCTATATGCGCTAAAATATGCACATATATTAAAAACTTGTGAAGAGCATTCTACCTTAAAATCAAAACACTTATCTAAAAAACAGTGACCACTCTTTTGTTTCTAGTAAATCAAAGCATGGGAGTCGGTATCAATCAACCTTTTAAGTAAAATTGTGTGGTGACTACAAACTTTTTCTTGCTGTGTGTGTTTCCTTCTACAACTACACTTTAAAAGTCATTCTGTATCATGCTAGTGCTTTCATTTCTGGTGTGGAGGTTATCATTTCATTTATAGACATTCTGAGGGAGAGGAAGGGAGGGGAGTGTATTTTTTAGTGATATTTAAGATTTCTGTAATTGAGTTGGAGAATTAAAATCCTACCAGTTTTGGGGTTTATATATAATATACATGTATGAAATAAAAAAAATAAAAATAAAAAATTCAATATATTCAAAGTTGATATGTTACTATTAAACATGTTTGTGATTGGCTAAGCTAGGGATATGCATAATTTTGTGAATTAGTTACTTATAAATGGTAGCCATTCACAGATGTGAATCTAATTATATGCAGGAGTCAATATCTGTGATTGGCTAAGCCAGAGATATGCATAATTTTGTAAATTAGTTACTTATAGATGATAGCCATTCACAGTTGTGCATCTAATTATATGCAGGAATCAATATCTGTGATTGGCTAAGCCAGAGATATGCATAATTTTGTAAATTAGTTACTTATAGATGATAGCCATTCACAGTTGTGCATCTAATTATATGCAGGAATCAATATCTGTGATTGGCTAAGCTAGGGATATGCATAATTTTGTAAATATACTTACTTACTTCTTTTTATTTATCAACTAGGTCAACCTGTCAGTGGTACGGACCAAGGTGTTTTATATAGCTCTGATGCTGTTCCAATAAATAAACAGACCCCCACACCAAAAAAGACATTGTTTATGTCTAATACATTGTAAGTGACATTTTTATCATTACAAATGCATATGTATTCTTTTTTTTTAATCTGTTACACACCGAACAGTAGTGACTCACAAATGTTACCATTTTGTAGTATTCCTTTTTTTATGTCACTGTAGGCTATGTAAAGGGTGTTCGTTGTCGCGCCAAGCATGTGTAACATTTGTGTCGATAAACATTGTCTTTCCCACGATTCAAATCGCTCTTCTAATGGAATCACAAGTACGAGTTTTGACTGAGACTACCGTTGGTGATTCCTTTGGTACCTTTCAATATCCAAAGAAATTATTTAGTTAAAGCTTGGTAACAACGCAGTTTGTATTCGTTGGTCTGCGCAACAATCAAGATCGCCATCTTTTTTCATATGAGATCAATATCTCGATAATTTTGACAAGTAGTATATACGATCATACTATTAAATCAGCATTTTAAAAAAAGGATTTACTTAGGATTATAAAACAAATATTGATGCAAATATTTTTTTGGGACAATATATAAGATATACTTTTGATGAGGTAAAATTAAAATTGTGCTGTTCAATGTTCTTAGGTCAGCAGAAGCCAGGAAGAAGGTAGCACAGAAAAAAGAAGCAGATGATGACATAGCCAGATTTAAAGAGCTGAAAAGACATCAACAGATTGAACAGTCAGAAGAGAAGAGAAAGGTAACAAGTAAAATATGGCATCTCTTCTCTACTAAAAATATTCTACTTTCATACTCATAATGGATTTATGGGAAAAGATTTTGCTAGTGCATCTTCTTGTGAACCCTTTTGTACATTTCAGTTAAGGCCAGACTTTTATTATTTCTTGTTTCGTGACCCGCCGAATGAACAGGAGCCGAAAATGAAATAAAAATAAAAGCGCAAAAAAAAGCTAAAATTTTTTTATTTTTATCTTCATTTTTTTTACGGCCTGCCGCATAACAAATCCAAATTGCATTCTCGTGGGAGTATTATGATCAAAGTACCGAAGTCTCGCACAGATGAGAAACGAGGTTATACAGAGAATAAAATTTTATTTCATTTCCACTCTCCGATCAATGATCTCACTTACAATTCTTTGAGAATCGCACAAATCTAATGGGAAAAAAGAATTAATTTTATTTTTTTTTCGCCCTCCTCAAAAAAATTGCCTTATAAAAACTTGAGAAATAAGGAATAAAAAAAGTGTGGTCTAACTACAGTGAGTGGGAATTGTAGTGAAGGCACACAATGAAATTAATGTTGTTTCACATCTGTTAATTCAGTATATTCTCTGTCACCAAAATCAACATATTTCGCAAAATAAACCTGTATAACTTTTTCAATATTTGGAATAAAACGTCTATAAATTAGAAAATTATGTCCATTTCGTTCAATATTAACAACAAAATTATAGAAAAATGTATAAAAATTGGCAAAATGATGTGCAAGAATTTAGGCAGAATGATGAACTTCAAAGGGTTAAATAGCAGGCATTAAAGTATAAGTTCAGCTGAGTGCATGTACATTCAAGCTTTCAGAAAATATATATGTTGTCATAGTTACATGTTAGGTAACTGGCATGGGATGATGTAATAAAAAAACAAAACAATACAATTAATGAAAGTTTTCCTGATTACAAAACTGCCCTGCTACTTGATGGATTATACCAGTATAATATCTGTAATACACTCCATCTTCTGGAAAAAGTATATTACTATGAAGGGTCATAATTATAATATATAATTAGTTTTCTCTTTCGAAATTTAAAATGCCCCAATAAAAATCAACTATCAGCTCATGGATTTTAGTGACAGCGCCCTCTAGTGGCAGATAAGTGGAATCCCGAAAAGAAACCCAAAAACATGCATCAACATGAAATTAATTGAGCATATGTCTTTTTTTTAAAACTGCTGTATTTTATAGGATTAAAATAAATTTAATTTCTTATAATTTTTATCAAATTCAGAAATTTTGAATTAAATACTATGTAGTTCTGCTTCACTTATTTTGTTAATATTCGACTTATTAGGGAAAACTTGGAGAAAATATGATAAACATGACATTTACTGAGTGTTGATGCATTGTGATGATGCCCTGTACTAATATAACCCAAATTCCCAAACTGATTTGGTTTAAAGGTAAAATTAATTTAACTTATTTGACATTTAAATTTTGATGATTTAAATTGAATTAAAACAAAATGAAATAGATACGAGAAATGTGAAAGTACATATTGAATTATGAAAATAGTGTTAGTGACTTTGCAGATTTACCTTCCAATTTTTAGACCTTAGTTTACTCAGTATACATACATTGTAGGCTGTTAACATTTCAGAAATGTAGAAATATTTCCCTTTTAATAATTTGAGAGTATTTTGGGGGAAAGATTTTTACAAAAGTCTCTGTGTCTCTGTTTAGGAACCCAGTGAAATCTTTCATTGCTACAATATTTGGACAATATTTTCCCTAACTTGCGATATTCAGAAGAATTTTTTTTATGTGGAATTATTGTGATCTACTGTGCTTTACCAAAAATACGCCTTGTTATGCTCAATGTGAAATTTGAAAATATTGTTAAAAAAGACCAAATTTTACTGAGATAGCCAATTGATGTAAAATTTCTCTGTCTTGTGGTTACTGTGGATAAATATGCTTGAAAACCTCAAAACAATAACAAAATTTGACTTGAAAATAATCTAACAACTGTAAATTAAAATTTCTTGCAACAAAGCTTTATGGACTACTGTAAACCACTTTAATTTTGCCAGAGATAATTTTCACAAATCAGTGAAATTCGCGAAATCTGGCATCACATAGCATCAATGACTTTTGCAAAATATTGTCTTCACAAATCCTGTAAAATCTTTAAATTAAGATAATTTCCAGCTGTGAAAATTAAATAATTCACAGTATTTGCTTGTCTTACCCGCCATACTTTATTAATTTTATCTCAGGATCTTGAAATGCTGAAAAACTATCAACCATTTGGCCGTCCCGGCGGTGGTGCTCCACACAACATTCATAAGAGAACAAAGGTCATCGAAACAATGAAAGTGGACGACAAGACTGCTGAGGTAAGTTGCTATGGCAACCACACAAACACAATTATGCATAATTATTTTTATGCCCAGGTGAAAAGCTTCCATGATTGGTACAGCTTTCAAGCCCATTTGCATACTCAAACAACATGTATATGCATGTTCATTCTCTGTGTAAAAGTTTGACAAGAAGTTGAGACTTCATTAAAGCGACACATTTGGATATCTAGTGTTGCCTATACTACGTGAAACGCATCGAATCTACAGCATTACGTTTCAATCATAGATATGGTAGGTCTATATTACGTTGATTACAGAGCCACTGTTAATGTATAAATCATTTTGAAAGTTTAACAATCAAAAATTTGTTAACCTAACAAACTTTCTTAAAAAAATATTTAAGTTTGCTAAATAGCTTATGCTTTCAGTTCTAGTGTAATTTTTTCTTTCGTGATTTTTTGGGTAAATTAGTCTTTTTCTCTTTCAATAAAATGTATTTATTTTCGAAAACTGACTGTTTCTAATTAAATATACTGATTTAATGATAATGTTCAAATTGCTGAATGTATTGGTGTGTGATTTTTTTTTTAACAAAAGAGAACACATTTAAGTTGAATTGAATATTATTATCTTGTTTTAAAAGTTTCTTTGATTACCCAAATGACTTTCCATATATATCATTAGCTACTAATTGTTACCACTAACCTCCGACAGTTGCAAAATATAGGTTTTTACTTTCATCAAATTTGATGATTAAAATTTGTTAATAACTGTTAATATTCTATCCAAACTTATTATAGATACTAATATGAAGTTTATGAAATTTTTTTTTTGAATATATAAAATAGAGGAAGTTTTAAACAAGTGCGAGTACAAGCGCATTTTGAAATGCTTTAGAAGGAAAAAAAAAGTTTGAGGCGCATAGTTCAAAATGATGTGTGCGAAAACAAGAAAACAGAGATATTTATTTTCTAAGCCTTAATGGGATTTGCTGTAACTGCCAAAGAACGCCAGTGATTTTTTATACATAATGGTACAACATTTTGTGATTTTCCTCATACTGGCAAAAAGTTTGCTAAAAATATAAATACATTTGTGTAAAACAGATAAAAGTATTTTGCCTAATTTTTTTTTGAGTATTTATTTAAATTAATAATTCATATCACAACCTGTCACTGCTTTTTTAAGATATACCTAACCTGAATAAAGTAATATTATATTTTACCATTTCACAAGTTTATTCTCTCTTTGACTTGAAATCAAAAGTTTTACATCAGATTTATGTTTCTCATACAAAATTGTCTCAATGATTGAAAGTTATGACAAAGTGGACATTTTACATTTGGTATTGTTCATTATATAATTTTGTAATAGCGTATTTTCTCTATTAGTAAATGATAGAAATATAGCTATAGCCAAAATAAAATGTATTATTAATAAACATAATATTTTATTTATTTCTGTATCAGAGATGCACTTCTAATGGAGTAAATACAATACATTATAATATAATATTACCGGTATAATATTAATTTCAATATTTTTTTCAAAAGAAGTCCCTCTCTGCATCCTAATATTGTATAAATAAATTATAAATTTATAACATTATAATAATTCCACATATGGATATTAAAATATAAATGCAATCGTTTTATCACACGTTTTTTCCAGGAGTCACCCGTTGAACCGAATAAAGTAAGTGAAATAACTAAAATGGAATCACTCACTGATTTGAAATATGCACGTAATAAACACTAACACTATCCTGTGCACATATCATCTTAGCCATCCACCCTCTGTCCAAAGTAGAATAACCCATTACTAATAAATAATAATTGGATTAATCCATTTTATTTGGAAAACAGGGGTGTAAGGTTGATGATACATATGTCATTTTTCATTGCTTGATAAAAATGTTTATTGTTGTAGTTATAATTTTGTTGTCGTGTGCTAATTCATGTAGTAATCATGTATTTGTTTACAGAATCTGTTGTCATGTCTGTAACATTGTAACTTCAGAATAAGCATTTCATACATGTGGCAACAATCTCGATATTTTATTCCAACAACAAATACTGCAACTTATACAACATCACAAACAACAATAAATACCAACAACAACTACGACAAAAGATGAAAGGAAGTTTGATTGTGGTATAAGAACAGTTCACCGCCGTCAACATCAGCAACAACAGATATTATAATTCACATAAAACCATCACCAACAACAACAAAGCAACCACGACAATGATAACAATAACAACAAATAATACTGAAATAACACTGACAACAACTGAGTAGCAAACAATTCATTTTTTTCAACAATAATAATTAAAGCGAGGGAGTTGCCACCTGTGCATGTGACAGACTGCCATAACGTGTTATTTTTACAAATAAGTGTCTGCCTTATGCTTTCGCATTTTTAAAGTATGTTGTTATCATCGCTGGGGACTCAATTCCCATGCATAAGCAGGTGACCCTTCCGCTTCAACAACATGAAAAGAACTTGTATATGTGGTGTATGAACAATTTTACAACAAAAAAATATGTGAATATGCTTTTTAAAGTTTCTAGAATGATCTGCATGATGGTTCAATTATAGATTGTTGTTGTCTGAGACAAACAGGTGTCACGTGTGCATGGTTGCTGCTGGAATTTTGTGTTTCTGCATGGAGATATCAAAAAAGTGTTCACTAAACCGATTAATGTTTCAGCCCTCTTGCTACAATATTGGAAATGCTGTTTACAAATCTATTTTGTAAAAGTTTCACCAAATTTCATAATTCTTTTGGACCATACATACAGTTTCAAATATTTTTTTTTATAATATGTTTTTGATAATATATATGACAGTTCTGGACTTTGAATTTCACGGTTGTCTCTCGTGACTTTTTTTTTTTTTTTTTTTTTTTTTGGTAAGTCCAAATTGCAAATGCTAGTGCTGACACAATTTCAAATATTGCTTTTAGTTTTTGTTCAATTTTGATCAACATTTCGTATGCGAAGGAGCAGACTATACCAAATTTTGTAGATGGTGACAAAAATTGACAATGGCGCTCAAAACGTAAACTATGTAAAGTAGCGTCTATTAAAAACTATTCAAGAAAGAATACCTAAATTGTGGCAGGAGTCTGTAGCAAATCATAACTAATAATATAAAATATTAAAATCAAACCTCATCAATATTTTATTCTTAATATTGCAGTTAGAATTTGGCAAACCAGGTGCTGGTGCTCCATTACGGACAGACTCTGGTAAGCTTAAGACAAATATCAGATCTGATAAAGAGATTCATTTTCAAGTTGGCAAGGCCGGATTTAGCACGATTAACAACCATAAACGATATACTACTGAAGTCCAACTAGCTAGGAAATACCACAATGAGTTAGGTAAGTTAGAAACTGTTCCTAATTTACCCTGCTGGGTTTATTCCATCATGATATTCTGTGCATACTAATTACTTGTTCGTGGCTAGTTCACAACACATTATTCGCTGATTCGTGCATATATACACATTTATTGGTGGTCACATTATTGCATTGTGTTCGATATAGAACTCATAACGATGCATACAATGTCTGTAAAATACAAATTCGTTTACTCAAAATTAAAATATGCTCTGCACGACAATGAGTACAAACAGTTTGTGACAGAATCATCTCAGGATGTTTGAGTTTGGAATGGAAAAATTGAGCATCTAGAAGAGTACCGGTATATAGCCATGCAACCTGTCTCTGTCCCACCTTAATTTTACACATTTTACACATTTTTATGTGTTTTTCATAATTTTGGACAAAATGAACCTAATTTTCCATTAGCTAAAGGTCTTGATCTGATTTCTTTGTAGAATATGGAAACAATTATGCAGGTTTATTTTGTAGCGCGTGATAAAAGTTAAATTTGTTTTTATGTGAAAAAAACTAAACTTTTAAAAGTCAGATATTTGAGAAAACAATTTTCAAATTGCCATGGCAACTATAAAGAGTGATATATTGTTTTTATTGTATCCACAGAGAATCTATCACTTGAACACAGAACGCAGCGAGAAATTGAGAAATATAATGACAAGTTATCAGAACGGGAAATGGTGAGTTTCTGCATATTATTTACAAGTGTTGCTTAGCAACTATTGTTGTATATTAACACTTCATTAATGTCTACTGCACAATGTATTAAAATTTGTGAATGTTCGAGAAAACAGAATTTTTTTTTTATTTTGGTAAAAATTTAAGATTATTTATTCATAAAATTTACCAAATATATATCCAACTAAAAACGTTAATGTCTAGATCTGTTTTGTGGGAATTCAAAAACCTGACAACAAATATTTTTCTTTGTAAGTGAAATTTTGGTACAAAGCTGAAGCAAAAGCAAACAAATAGTTGGAACAAGAACAAACAGAGAATAAATACTGAAACATAACCCTGTAAAACCACTCCAAATTGCAATGAATTTGTTGGCAAAACTAAAAAATGTCTGCACCTGTAGTTTACCTGCTCCGAGTTCCAAGTTTACAGAAACGTGACGTTTTGAGAGCAAAAGCAATAATTATTTTCTTCTTACGATAAGTCTAACATTTTTTGGTTGTTGAAAATTAGAGTGTCTGGATTTCAATCTAATTTAAATGTAGAGTAGAGGGGATTAAGTGAGATTAGGAGATCAAAAAGCAGGTGCAGCTGAAACTTGTCACACCTGTCAGGATGGATTAAAGTTGTCAAACTGGATTAACTGCTTTGTCTGCCTTTGATTTATTATCTACAGTTGGGATACAATCCTTTTGGTAAGCCAGGAGCTGGAGCACCCATTAAAACAGAATCTGGTGAGTATTCTGACCATATCTTTTATGAATTTTATCATCTACTACCATATTTAGTCAAGGCACTTCCATATTTAGAAATCATTTTACACATTAGCATGTTGTGCCCATAATTAGTCATGACATTTCCATATTTAGAAATCATTTTATATTTTAGCATGTTGTGCCTATATTTACTTTTGGCATTTCCATATTTAGAAATCATTGACACATTAACATGTTGTTCCCATATTTAGTCATGACATTTCCATATTTAGAAATAATTTAATATATTAGCATGTTGTGCCCATATTTAGTCATGACATTTCCATATTTAGAAATCATTTTACATATTAGCATATTGTGCCCATAATTAGTCATGACACTTTCATATTTAGAAATCATTTTATAATTTAGCATGTTGTGCCCATAATTGGTCATGACACTTCCATATTTAGAAAATCATTTTATATTTTAGCATGTTGTGCCTATATTTACTCATGGCACTTCCATATTTAGAAATCATTTACACATTAACATGTTGTTCCCATATTTAGTCATGACATTTCCATATTTAGAAATAATTTAATATATTAGCATGTTGTGCCCATATTTAGTCATGACATTTCCATATTTAGAAATCATTTTACATATTAGCATGTTGTGCCCATAATTGGTCATGACACTTCCATATTTAGAAAATCATTTTATAATTTAGCATGTTGTGCCTATATTTACTCATGGCACTTCCATATTTAGAAATCATTTACACATTAACATGTTGTTCCCATATTTAGTCATGACATTTCCATATTTAGAAATCATTTAATATATTAGCATGTTGTGCCCATATTTAGTCATGGCATTTCCATATTTAGAAATCATTTAATATATTAGCATGTTCTGACCATATTTAGTCATGGCATTTCCATATTTAGAAATAATTTTATAATTTAGCAAGTTGTACCAATATTTAGAAATGGCATTTCCTTATTTAGAAATAATTTAATATATTAGCATGTTCTGACCATATTTAGTCATGACATTTCCATATTTAGAAATAATTTTATAATTTAGCAAGTTGTACCAATATTTAGTCATGACACTTCCATATTTAGAAATCATTAAATATATTAGCATGTTGTGCCCATATTTAAAACCAACTTTTGTAGATGTGCTTGTTAATGTGGGTTCTGTCCATCTGTGCATCCATGTGTGCATTATGTCAAATAAATGAATAATTAAATAATTGTATAATTTTCCAGCAGCCAATCAGGCGGTAGTACACAAATAAGCACATTTATTGTAGAGTGCTTTTGTTTGATTGGTTATTTTCTGTTTGATACAAAAATGTAGGTCGAGTCAAAGCTGGTCGTGCACTTACTCTTACCAATAACCACTTGGAACAGAGGAATATTTCTTTCAAACACCCATCACTCATATCTGATTCAAGTAAGTCAGTAGTCTGTATGGTATACTTTAAAATACTTTATTTTAGCTGGAATTAATTTTCACTGAAAAAAACGTTTTGTGTGTTTTGTATGGAATTTATTTTTCACTGATTTTTGACAAGTTGAATGTAAAATATCGGAAAAAATATATATATTCGCTGGATTTTATTTTCCCTGAATCATTACCACAGCGAAAATAGCGGAAATTAATCCTAAGCGAAAATAAAGTATTTTACAGTATTTAACGCATTTAATTTACGCAAATGACATTATGTTTCGCCACATGTATATTTTGTCGTAAAATTTGGAGCCTTACACCCCATAAATATTGAACATACACACAGTGACACAACACTGCTGCTAATAATACTACTAACATTATTTCAATTTTTTTTATAGAAAATCCATCTCAGGGTGACATAGAGAAGGTAAGTAAAGTAAATATTCATCTATCAATAATTCAGTGTTTACCCCAACCCTTCACTGGATAATTCATTGCCATATCCTTCCACAACCATTTCACTGCCATTGTTTCCTTCCACAACCCTTTCACTACCATTGTATCTTTCCATAGCCTTTTCACATTTTGTCAGCAATGTCTCACATTTTGATATATTGCTGATGGAATTGTTATATTAATAGACTTGAAACAATTTTTGTGACTGGTCAACATTTTATCAACATGTCATTATTGTCTCACAACACTTAACAAAAAAATAATTATGGAAATATTATATAATAGGGATGAAGCAAGTTTTGTTACTGAGCAACAATGGATTTGTCAACATGTCATTATTGTCTCACAATACATGAAGGGATATTGCTTATGGATTTGTTATATTAATGATCTGATCAGCATTTTGTCAACATGTGGTTATTGACACACAACATTTCACAAACTAATGGTGGAATTGTTATATTAATAGAGATAAAACATTGTTTGTGACTGGTCAACATTCTGTCAACATGTTTCATTATCTCACAATACCTGACAATATTTCATGTATTAATTGCCAGTGGTTGTTTATCTCAGCCCTACACTGGCCAATTCATTGCCAAGGTTTCCTTTCACAACCCATTCACTGCCATTGTATCCTTCCACAACTTTTTCACTGCCATCTTGGCCAACATTTTGTCAACATGGTCATTGTCTCACAACACCTGACAACAAACTGATGCTGGAATTGTCATACTAATATAGATGAAACATTTTTTTGTAACTGATCAACATTTGTCAATGTCTCAGGTTTATCCACTAACATTAGCATTGTCAACATAGTTTACTGACACATAACACATAACAACATAATATTTCTGTTTATTAATTTTCAAATAAATTCCAATAGTCATGGTGTAACAATTAGAATTACATATCATTGAACTTACCGGTATTAAATATAAGTTCAACAAAAATTGATCAGGAAAAAAATTTAGCTCACCTAGCTGTTTTTAAAATGTTAATTTCTGATATTGATAAATAGTGAAGAAAAGTTCTCTTTAACGCAACAAGTTCACACAGCAGGTTAATCAGAAATATTTTATTTTTGTTGGGTTGAGATGAAAGTCTTAGAAGATTAAAGCGGTCTGGTATATGTATTTGTAAAGCCAACCTAGTAATATTGCATGCAGCCACAATAGAATTGATCAATCTAATGTTTTTCAGGAGAAGAACTGGTGCACATTTACAAAACTCATTGATATCTGCTGTTGATATTTAATTTCATTCTAATTACGTAATGTAGTCCTGTGATTAGCAAATTTCAAAGTTTGATTCAAATTTCATTTTAAAAAACTGAAGTATATTTTGAGATGATCTTTTGATAAAAGTAATTTTTTGTTGTGTTTACACATTGATCAGCTGATAAGGGTTAGAGTCAAACAGAATCTAATCATATTTATTTACTGGTAATGCAGATACCAGAAATTATTGTATTTTTAAACTCATAATTATAGTTATGTATAATAACAATGATAATTATGCTTTATTTAGTAAAAACATATGATTTGATCAGTGTACATTAAAAATTCATACACTGTCACTTGAATCAAAGTTAACAAGTTTGTCAATGCTTGGGTGTAAGGTGTAAGCCGTAGTGTGTTCCAATCTTTCCTATCTTCCTTCATCCGAAATAAATAAGGTTACCATATATGACAACCTGATGGTTCAAAAATACTTTTGTTCTAAAACATGATGTTTACCAGAAATTAAAACAAAATATTTCCTCCTTTCCCAAATACTAATAGATCTTTAAATTCCCGATATAACTGTTCTAATAACCTAAAATTACTAACAAACAGAAAGAAAAAATATTTTTTCCTGGAATATTACAATTCCCCCAAATCTGTGTTTATGAAGTTCAAATCGCAAAGTAAAGCTACAAATGAAAAACAAAATAATAATGGAAAATGAAATTACGCCACCAGAGGGCGCTGTTTGCCACATTAAGTTCTCATGCAAGACAAATTTCAGTTTATGTGGCGTTTATTGCAGCCAATATTATGGGACATCACTCCCATTAATGGTAACAATGGCTATAATGACAGGAGCTCGGAGGAAAGGAGCCCCGATATGGAAGCTGATCATTCTCAGGCAAGTGCAGCCCTGTATAACATGAAGATTTGTTTCTAGTTTTATTTGTGTTACATGTGTGATGCGGCTGCATAATTGCTTATTTACCAAATTATTTTTGAGTTAGTTAGGGGGACATGCCAACTACCATCTTCTTTCAAGCCCCTTAGTTAAAAAGAAATATTCCCTGTATTACTAAAGTAAGACCAAATTAAAAATAAATGAAATTTTAATATTTTTGGTTTTGTTAATAGATTACAAAAAAACCTCCTCAATGTTAAATGCATAAATTTTTAAAACCGAAACTAGTCTTTGCTTTTTAATAATAATAAACTTTTATAACTTTTAAAGCGGGAGGGTCGTCACCTGCGCACGCACGGGAATTGAGTCCCAAGCGATGATAACAACACACGTAAGAACGCTAAGGCTCATGGGTAGACGCTTGTTTGTAAACAATGACATGCTATGGCCATCTGACGCATGCGCAGGTGACGACTCCCCCGCTTTAATGTTAGCCAATATACAAATTGTGAACTGGAATGACCTTTGCCATATGACCCGTACCACCCGGTAGTCATACTGCATGATCATTATAACACATGTGGCTGTGGTTAGTTCTTAACTTGCATGCTAGACTTCCATTTTGTTGTGACTTATCTTTGCTTTCTATGCATGCAGTTTTATATTACAGGCTTTTATTCACGACTGTGGATTTGTGTTTCTCATCAACTGGCTTGTCTAAAAAAATTAAATATGCATATTTAATACCATCAATTTACTATACACAGAGTACTGTATGTGGCTGTGACCCTAATATAGTACCTTTTATGCTACAGTATATTGGCTTATTTATCTATAGTATGTCAGTTCACACCACAATATTACATATTACCCTAGTGTGGCAGTTACACCTCGATCAATCTGATTAAAATCTGATGTAGTGTACGGGCTTTAATTATTTTGGCTATAAACTTGTTTTAATTTTATTTTTTTTTACTTTTGTTATTAATGCCCTTTTATTTTATTATTTTACTTTGATTTTGATTTTTTTTTAATTCCGCCCTACCTACATCTGATCCGACGCCTATGTAAGTCCCGTTCAAATCTCGCGTAAGTAACAGCCAATCACAGCCCCCCTTTTACACAGGCTGTCGATTGCTTACTTTTCAGTGTATACTGGCAATCTTTCTGTACATTATATTTTGCCCACTTGAATAAACCATTAATAGAAAATTGCTAGTATATTTTTATTTGCAAAAGAAATTCCACAGCATTTTACAATTTTTGTCATTACATTGAATATTTTTTTCACTTCCAACAAATGTGTACACTTCCAGATACATCTTCGCCAGCCAAGGTTCGTTCATTCAGTCATCGCTTCAATTTTACATCACTGAGCATAATTATCTAGAATGGAAGCAAAAAAATAAGTAAATCGTAATGATTAGAACACTGTAAACAGCTATAGTAAACAATGCAAACTGATTTTAAATTGTATAACGGTCACCGGCCCACAGCATCGACGCAGAAAATTGGAGCAAACAAATATTTCCTGATCAATTGCGATGTGTTCCAAATAAAAAATATTTTATTCCAGTCTAAATCAGCTCGAATTACTTTAATAAAGAGTTATTGTATAATGTACAAAATGTTGATACAATTTGATGAATATTTACAGCTTCAATACCGTGGACGATTTTGGCCCGATCGTCAACAAACATCACCCGTCTCCAGCGCAGGCGACTGGAAAAAGACACTAGTGTTTGGTCGAACCGGTGGAAACAAAATCGTCACTCCCAGAATAATTATGCGAAATAACGATCTAAAGTCGAACCATTCTAGCCACAATATTAACATAAAAATGACTATCATTTGACAATGATAAACTTAATACCGAAAAGCCGTGTTATTCACGGTCGCTAACGTTGGTATAATCCGCCATTTTATTTGAGTGTGTTTGCCACCTGACTCTGCCCGGTGACGTCATCATGTGCGCTATAGAAGGAGGTCTGTGATTCGTTGACTAAAATCGTCGATAGTGGGTCTCGTTGAAATCTCGTTACATAGGCATCATGTCAGATGTAGGTAGGGCGGAATTATAAAAAATCACAAAATCAAAATCAAAGTAAAATAATGAAATAAAAGGGCATTAATAACAAAAGTAATAAAAAATAAAATTAAAATAAGTTTATAGTCTAAATAATTAAAGCCCATACACTACATCAGATTTTAATCAGATTGGGTACATAGTTACTTGAGGACTGTGCAGACCCCTAATCAGTTTTTGGGTAAATATTTGTGCATATTAATCACCTTATTAGCATAATTAGTTAATTTTCACCTGATACAAATGTATCTCAGGTACTAATCATCACATTTCAATGAGACTTGCGACATAGATCTTCTAGGACTATGCAGAGACCTGATCAATTTTTGGATAAATAATTGTGCATATTAATTACCTAATTTGCATAATTAGTTATTTTTTTTGCTGTTTTATGGCTGTTGCACTGTCTAAAAAACCACTCATTGGATTTTAATGAAACTTTTTAAAGGGTACCCATCACATTTCAATGAACCTAGGACTATACACCATATTAGTTTTTGGTAAATATTTATGCTAATTAACATAATTAATTAATACTGATATATCAAGTATTGATCATAACATTTGAATAAAACTTGGTACATAAATGCTCTAGGACAATAGACAGCCTGATTAATTTTGGGTTAAAATCTGTTTATATTAATTCTCTAATTAGCATAATAATTAATATTTTTTTGGTTCTAATCACGTTTCAATGAAACTTGGTACATTGTGCAGACCTTATTAGTTTTGTACTTAAATTTGTTCATATTAGTTACCTTATTTGCATAATTAGTTTTCTGCGTTTCCATCAATATATCAAGTTCAAGTAAATTTGAATTAATTTTTAATGTGTCTCCAATACTCTCAGCACAGGGGAGTTCTTTCTAAGCTTTCTTTGATTTTTATTTTAACCTAATTTTGAGATGCATGTATATGTGGCTATTCACTACTGATATCTCAAGAGCTACTACCATAAAATTCCTAGTTGAGGCTGCGGCTTTAATTAAAATTATTTTTTTTAATGGGCGACTTTAGATGCGCGAAGTCTTGGTATTAGGGCATTAGCTTCGGTAACAGATGGGAAATTTGTTAAAACAAAGGCCTGAAGGGATAATGATATGCTAATGAGATGCATGACACTCGATTGCAACTTTGTTGCAATTCTAAGCGAACTTTTGGTTTTTCACAGACAGACAAACTTGTACACAAATGAAAATTCACACTGTTACAACATACTACGCAATAAATAATATCTGCAAAAAGATTTGTATGCATTTGCAGATTACGGTACCGTATAATCTCTTGAATAAACTTCACTCTAATTCGTTAGTATCGGTACCTTCCATGCTAATTTGTCTTATTTAGACAACGAGGAAGAGTTCAAAGCCTTAATTTTGAAATAGGAGTATGTCACGGAATATTGAAATATTACAGTCAATCCAAAAAAAAATTTTACATGATAACAAAAAAATACTCAGTATATTTAATGTAATATGCATTTATTTTCTTAATTTTGTTGATAATGAAAAGTATATTCTAAAAGAAGTTTTAAAAAAACAAACACAAATGCATTGCTTAGTAGCAAATGATCACAGTAACGGTATCACAATCCGACCGGTCATGCTGCGTTTCACAAGTGAATAACTTACTTGTATTCGTAGTGTTGCAATTGATGATTATCACTCAGTAGTGATTACAATAACGTACAAAAAATAAATTTGTTGAATTGTAATGAAATGCGGCTAAAATTGAACTTAGTTTCACTGCAAGTGAAAGATTTCGGTCACATGTAATTTATAACTTATTTAAAGACCAAGTAGGCATTAGAAAAACTTTACGATACGATATCTGTTATGTTTGTCCAAGCACATTCGTGACTTGAAACTGTTCTTTGACCTGATAGGTCAAGTTGCTAATTAACAAATCAAAATGTGTTTGAATTACCATAGCTCATTTAAATATGTTAATGACAGTTCAGCGACTTCATAGTGAACGCAATACGGAAGAGATTTACTCTGTTGTAGTAGTTTGGCTTTGATTTTGATGGGAAAATGGCATGATTTTTTTTAAATCAAGAAATTAGTTGTTTTCGAAAGATAAGCTCAGCATTGAAGAAGAATTGAACACTTTTTACGGTGATAACAGCTCATTGTTGAAACGCAGTTTACCCAATCACGCTGCCCGCAATAAACATTGTACTCTTGAATAGGCGTCAATGACTACGGAAAACCTAAATTACCGGTAGACTCTAATCTAGGCGTCAGGAAAGATTGAAATGTTCAAAAACTGATGCCTTAATTTAAAATTAAATGGTATCTTTTTCTGAAATATGTGGTGGCTGTTTGGTTTGTGAAAGTTTGGGGTGCGGCTTATATTGCAGAATTTCCCTGGGATCAAAACTTGTCAATTTCGACATGAAACAATGTCTCAAGTTAGGGATGCAGCTTCTATTAAAGCTGCGGCCTCAATTATGATTTTTCAGTAATCCAATTCAATACAACTGGATATATAGCTGTATAGAAATAATGCCAGACCTGATAAAGTTTTGGACGAAATTCACTAAATCTAAATTTAAAAATGTATTAGTTGAGTTACTGTAGTTGGATTGGTCATGAAATCTGTGCAGATGCAGTAATTTCCATATGACAAGATATGTATTTGATTTGCTGTGTGCTATTTTTTGGTTGCAAAAACCGTTGAGTGACAGGCCAATTTTGATTTGTTTGTAATCATTGCAGCATGTGAAGTGTACTTTGACAATACTCCTGTTCCTGTGAAAAATATTCTTGGTGAAGTAGGTGGTGGATTTAAGATAGCCATGAATATATTGAACAGTGGTAGATTCAGTATGGGCAGTTCCGGTGCTGGTATGCTGAAAACACTTATTGGTGAGTACCATTAATTATTGTAACATAAAGTGATTATCAGTTATGGTATGTCAATTGCATTTATTTAATATTTATATTTGTGAAAACTGCTCACACCTCAGTCATGGTGATGCCAATTTTACCGTACCCAACATTTTCCTGCCTATGGAACTGTTTTTTTTTGAGGTTCGGTACGAACCCTACCCACTATTGGGGGTACTTCGATTCGTCTTTACATACCCCTATTTGGTTATTAAATATATTTCTGAATTGGGGCAAAGATCTTAATGCCCAAGAGTTCCAATCAATATCTCTTTATCAATTGGATGTAAGGTTACTTACTGAATATCAGCTCAGTGAATCTGATTAATTAGATAATAAAGATGTCTCGTATCGACCATCATACCACCAGCAACACTAATATACCATCATACTGACCATACTAATACTGCAACTGCATAATATTCTTTTCTTTCTCATATAATCCACTTTTTCCTTGCGATGTCTGGTGTTTAGCTCATAAAAGATTACTCTGAAAAAAAATATATTTTTGCCATTTCTCTTTGATGAGTTGATCAGTTTCATTCAAACTTTACATAGCTAATAAATAAACAATGCATTACATTTATCAACAGACACAATTTCACAATCAAATCATATCAACAATTTGATTGTCATTTGTTATTTAATTCATTTTGCGACATTGAATGTCTTGTTTAAGGTAGAGATGCAGTTTACCTGACAGGTATTTTAATTAGTTAATTAGGAAACCAAGATGACCTCCCTTGTCCACAAAACTATATATTTTCAGAAAGCTTATTGTATGAATTTAAATTTTTTTTTAGTATTTTTTGTTTATGGACACTGTAGTTTGAAATATGCACAAAAATGTGCTTTTTTGGTCAAAAATGATTAAAACAAATTAGCTTCTAAACTATGCTTCTGTTTCCTGTCAAAATTGGTTTATGGGTACATCTGCTTACTATGAAGAAAGTGCCGTCTTGAAAACTGTCTACCAGTTGTCAATTTTGCAGAGCAGCAGCTCAAATTTCACTACTTCAAGTTTATGCATAAATTAACACCCAGGCTAGTTGTCTGTACGATTGTTGTAACACTGTTCAACCAAAAACAATGCCCGACGGCATTTTGAAGATAAACACATTGTCAATCATTTGTGAGAATTTCAAAACAAAAGGTCAAAGCGTCTAGGAGCTATTTTTTTTTAAAGTTCTGGGATGTGCACTAAAAAGAAGCTGAAATAATTGCTAATTTGCATAACATGGTGAGTACAGGTTGCCTGTTGCTGAGCGCGAAAATGTTCGCCGGGTGGTCACTATCCCTGAGGACCTCCCTCTTAGTGTATCCGAACGTAGCGTATTGAGTCGGAGACTGAATTTCATTCCGGTTAAATCTAGAGTAAATGAATTTCAGGTGAAACGCGACGCTGACAGTTTTTTT